CAGTAGTCTGTATGATGGCGACTCATGGTGGGGTTATGACCATAGGACCCTCCCCTGACACCCAGAAACCACCGGTCCCCCTTGCAGACTGGGCCACCTGGCCTTCCTGTGTCACAGAGCTACTGCTCAAGTGGAAGGTGCTGCCCTCCCTGCACTACAGGGACCCCCATTCATTCACTCTGGGCCCTCTCAAGTGACTAGGGGGCCCCAATGGCCACCTCCTTCATGCTGCTGCTGGGAGGATATGAGGATCAGGGGATCACAGCCTCCTGTCATTTGGAAAGGCCCGTTATTGTGGGGTTGGACCTGTCTTGCAGGTGCCATTTACTGGGCAGGCGTTGGTGGCCTGGTGATGGGGGAGAGTCTGAGCCCCAGGCTGACCAGACTCTGAGTGACCAGCTGCACAGACACAAGTTCCATGGTACCGTCTCTACAGGTCCATGATACCCAGTGGATGGCTGCCCTCCTGACAGTGTACCAGTGAAGTCCCCGTGCAGAAGGTGAGTCAGGATGGGCCATGGTTAGTCACAGGCCCTGGGAGTAAGAATGGGTGGCAGTGGGAACCTGCCTGCAAACTCAGGGCACAGGGCTCACTGTGCCTTCCTTACAGCCGGATTCTACATGCACAGTTAGGTTTCCATCTCCGGGAGATTTAGGATGTCCTTTGCCACATGCTTGGGGTTCCCCCCTTCTTTGGCAGTCATACCCTAGATGGTCTGGGGATGGAGGGACAGCGACAGAGAATGTGTGACCTGGGAAGAAGTACCCTTAGGTCACAGTGGTTCTCAACCTGGTGGTCAAACGACCCTTTCACAGGGGTCACCTAAGACCATCGGAAAACACATATTTCTGATATTCTTAGGAACCAAGACATCACTCTTCTATCCGTCTCCAGGAGGTTCTGCCCACATGCAGATACGCCCACATATGAGTACCAGTATCATGAGGAACTGTATTAAAGGGTCATGGCATTAGGAAGGTTGAGAACCACAACCTCAGGAGGAATGGGGGACTCAGGCAAAGTCACCCCCATTGAGGTTGGGGCTGGGCAGTTTGGTGCTTCCTGCCCAGGTCCCTTCCCCAGGGCAGTGAGCCCC